AGGGGGTGTGGAGGGGATCCGGGAGCTGATAGGTAGTTTGGGTGTGACATTGTCCTTCCCTCCCTTCTGCCTGGGAGAGGTTTGAGAATGCTGTTGGTAGGGCACCTTAATCTAGAGGAAATGGGAGCTAGAGCTCCACGGTCCATGTTTTGTCTGTGACAGGCCCATCTCTTCTGCTGGTGAACGCTCTGGTTTTCCCTTGCCGGCTGGAGGCTGCCAGCTGCCTCGGCTCTCGAAGCCTTGCCTGTGCCACGCGAGCCCCCCGCGGGCAGCATGCCCCTCCAGGAGCACGCCCTGGCCCTCTTCCGCAGCGCCGTGGGCACCGTCCGCCCGGCGCCCATGCTGCAGAGGGCCGTGAAGCTCCAGGAAGACGGGTGCCCGCAGCTGCTGGTGAAGGGCCGGGCCTTTCCAGTGAAGAAGGACCTGTACCTGGTGGGTTTTGGAAAAGCTGTGCTGGGGATGGCTGCAGCAGCAGAAGAGATCCTGGGAGACCACCTCACTCGGGGGATCATCAACGTGCCGCTAGGCATCCAGGGGAGCCTGCAGCGAGCGGGAATGCAGTAAGTGGGGTTGTGCCTGGGCAGTCTGGGGGGCGTAGGCTGCCAGATTTATCTTCTGTGGGATCGTGGAATTGTTTCGGTTGGAAGAAAACTTTAAGATTATCAAGTCTGACTGTTAACCCAGCACTACCAGCTCATCACTAAACCGTGTCCCCAGGCACCACACCTACACGTCTTTTAAATATCTCCAAGGATATTGCTGTGAACCCCTTCGCTCCTTTCCAGCTGCTCTCACACCACCCTGGTCTTCAACTACCATCACACAGCAGTGACATCAGTGACACAGTCCATCTCTTGCACTGGACACATTGCCCTGGGGAAGAGACACTCAGCAAAGGCCACCTTCCTGTCCTGGTCGCTCGCTGTGCACCAGGCCCATTTGCCTGCTGAGTGGCAGCCTGCCTGTTTAAGTGCACATGTTGGTGATGTGATTGCCTCTCTTACCTTACCAGGGAGATGCTCCTGAAGCCACACAGCAAAATCCAGGTCATTGAAGGTGCCAGGAACAACCTCCCAGATGCAGAGGCTCTGAAGGGAGCAGTTGCCATCAAGGAGCTGGCCGAGAGCCTGACTGCAGATGACCTGCTCCTTGTGCTCATCTCAGGTAGCATGGGGATCCCAGGGAATGGGCTCTGCTGAGGGCCCTCCAGCTGCCTGTCCACATATGGCCATGCAGCAGGGAGTGCTCTGCCAGCACTTTCAGAACTGGCACTTGCACCTCTAAGATTTTTCCTCTCCCTTCCCCTGCCTGCCTTTCTCCAGGGGTGCAGCAGGGGAGCACACGGGGATATCTGCTGCCTCACAGCACTGGGAAGAGGCCGAGCTGTGCAGGCTGGTTCCTGCAGTTGTGCCAGCGCTGTGAGGTGGCACCTCTGGGCACAGCCTGCCAGTGACACTTGCCCTTTGGCAAGGAGACGCTTTCCTCCTGCCCCCTCCTTTTATTTGGGGACGCGCACTTGGAGACGCAAGCACTTGGTGGACTTGCACGCTCCAAATTCCTACAGGTTTGTGATTCTGTAAGCTGAGATTGGAGACCAAGCCTTCCCAGGCCTTTGCTGCTTCCTAGGCAGTGGAAGCGATGTCCCCAGGTTCCCTCCCACCCAGTGAGCTGCACACCTTGCAGGGTCAGCCGTGAACACCCCCGGGCCTGGCTGCTGGGCCCCCAGCCACCCCTTAGCCCAGGGCTGTGGAAGGAAGGCGGATGTTATGCATCAGAGGGATGCAATGATGCCACCCCAGCTGGAGCTTAGTGCAGTGAGCAGGTGTTGCAGGGCAAAAGCACGCAGGGGCTTGGAGCAGCTCTGTGGCAGCCCTTCAGTCTTCCCTGCTCTGTGATTTTTCCTCTGGTTCCTCTGTGGATGCTGCAGAAAAAATAGTGCCGTTAGCTAACGCCCAAGGGCTGGGCTGGCATCTAGCTGTGCATGCTGGGGATTCCCCTGGGCTTCCTCCTGTCCTTCAGCTACCAGGATCTCTGGCAGCCCCTCAGGGAGCCTGTACAGGATCTCCCTGGGGATGCAGCTCCCTATGCATGTGTACTCCCACACAGCCACCGGTCCCCAACTGCTCCTGCCTCTCAGCTAGATCCTTGGCTATTGACTGAAACACAGGCATTTGCATTTGTTTTTCTTGCTCATCATGTTTTATTGATGCTGATTTGTCTCAAACCTCTGAGCAGACTCTGCCTTTTGACAGTAGCTTTCAGCTGTACTTCCATGCACATTCACTCTCTGCTCAGATCTTGCTCCTTTCCAACTCTGTATTTTCTATTCATTCCACTTTTCCATTATAACCATTTTTTCTTGCCTTCTTTTCCACATTTCCCATGCCTGCTTGGATCAGCCAGGATTCCCATTGCTGAGGCATACTTTGGCCTTTTGTGACTCTCTCCCATACCTTTCCTCCCAGGCCTAGATGGGTGCAGTACAGCAGTTTCCAATCTTGCTGCAGCCATAGCTGGTGTTTTTACACACTGTCCTGAATAAGTGGAGCCAGCAAAGCAGGCAGTGTCTCCATCTGCTTGGTGTGGCACGAGTCACAGAGCCCATGCTCCCTGCTCACCCATCCACACAGACCTTGAAAAATCAGTGTGACAACACACTAGTAGCCTGATGTAGCTGGGACAGTAATTGCTGGCCCTTCTGTCATCCCTCCAACACCATAGGTACACGGTACCCTGAGCTGGTGAGGCTTACACTGACCCAGTGAGGTGTAGCTGGCTGCAGACCGTGTAGAGCAGCAGCGATTAAAACCCAGTGGTGAAGCAGACCAGGTTGTCTAGAGATGTTATCAGAGTTCCCCAACCACCTCTACCTTCCTGCTGCACGCTGGTGAGGGAAGAGGAAAGGCTTAAGCATTGAACAGCCTTTCTTTCCTCCTGCCCCCCCTCATCCTGCTCTCCTTGCCATTTCTTCTGCATCCTAGGGGGTGGATCAGCCCTCCTGCCTGCTCCCATCCCACCCATCCTCCTCGCAGAGAAGGAGAAGCTCACAAAGGCGCTGGCTTCCCGAGGAGCTGCCATACAGGAGCTGAATGTTGTCCGGAAGACTCTGTCCTTGCTGAAAGGTGGAGGGCTGGCCCGGCTCGCATATCCTGCACAGGTAACCAGGGGAAAGCCCTTGCTGCTAGCCCAGAGATCACCCAGCCACCCTCAAAATAGAGTTTTAATCAACTGGCCTGAGTGTGCTTGCAGGGTTTTTCTTCATCACTGAGTGAGCAACCTTTGCACACTGTTTTGGGATTCCATGGGTCAGATTTCATTGAGGACCTCAACTCTAAGGACAACAGAGGTGTAAGAGGGGGAATTCAGACTCTGCAAATGTCAGCATCCCATCAGACCACTCTCAGCAGACCTCAGCACTCACCTCCAATGCGCTAGTGCTCCACCACAGCACTTTCAAGGCTGGGTCCAGCCCTTGGTTCACGTGGGGGCTGTTCTCAGCGTGTGCCATTGCCAAACCCACACTAGGTTATCTGCCTAGCAACAATTGCAGTGTCACAAGTTACACCTTCCAATGTGATGCTCCAGCATCAAAGGACGTTTTAGATCTGTGGGTTTGAAAACCGCAGGATAACTCTCAGGTGATCATGCAACAAAGATGGGCCAAGGTCTGCCCCTGTTTTCACCTGCTTTGACATGGTGGTGGCACAAGCGTAACTCAGAGCGGCGATTATGCCAGGACTCTTGCATGGCCAGCTGTGTGGCTCCCAGAATAATCTGCAGATGGTTTTCTTGGCAGGTGGTGAGCCTCATCCTTTCTGATGTGATTGGTGACCCCTTGGACATCATAGCGAGTGGCCCCACCGCTGCCAGCTCCCACAGCCTTCAAGACTGCCTTCAGATACTCACCAAATACAACCTGCTGCACAACCTGCCCAAGTCAGTGGAAATGGTCCTGTCCAGCTCTCCCACCAAGCCCACTGCTCCAGAAGACTACTCCCACGTCTGCAACGTCATCATCGGTTCAAACACGCAGGCTTTAGACGAGGCCAAACGCCAGGCTGAGGGCCTGGGCTACGCAGCTCTGATTCTGAGCACTTCAGTCTGCGGGGAAGTCGGGCGCGTCGCCACACTGTACTGCCAGCTGGCCCAGCTGGTCTGCCTGGGCCTCGCCGCCCCCCGAGACGGGCTCCTGAGCAAGCAGGTGAGGGCTGGCCTCCTGCAGCTGGCAGCAGAGCTGCAGGTCCCGGGCTTGAACCTCGCCGAGTTCCTGGAGGCTCTGCGAGGGTTAGAGCCTGAAAAACCAGTCTGCATCCTGGCCGGCGGAGAAACCACGGTTCGGCTTCGAGGAGCCGGCAAGGGAGGGAGGAACCAGGAGCTGGCCCTGCGCGTGGGGCTGGGGCTGCACAGGGCGTGGGCTGCGGGGGCCAGCAGCCCCTCGGGGAGGTGTGAGCTCATCTTCCTCAGCGCGGGGACGGATGGGCAGGATGGGCCGACGGAGGCAGCGGGAGCCTTCTGCAGCCCCAAGCTGGTGGCAGAGGCGCTGCGGGAGGGCCTCGACGTGGAGACCTTTCTCAGCAACAACGACTCCTATACGTTCTTCAGCCAGTTCCAAGGTGGGCATCACCTCCTGGTGACAGGCTTGACAGGCACCAATGTCATGGACATCCATGCCCTTTTGATTCGAGGCACGGAGAGATGGTGAGAGCCCCCTCTGCAGCTATCCAGATGCATTTAGTTAGGACGGGGGACAAATGAAGGCATCAACACTGCAGACTAACAAACTACTTGAATTACAGCTCACTGTCAAGGGTGCTAATGTCTTTGACAGAGGGAATCCACTAACCAGACACACAAGTGGATGCACACAGCCAAAGCGAGCACTTGCAATTGGGATCAGAGGAAGGCAAGAGGTCACATTACAGACATGGAGGCTAGATTTAACAATTCTGCTGTGAGCCACCACTCTTGTGACTACTTCAGCTACAGTTAAAAGATGTGAGGAAATTTAGGCCATGGTAAGATTGCCAGAGAGCCCTCACTGCAGCTCTTGCACCTCCAGTGCCCCCAGCTCAAGAGCAGCTCAGAAGGATGTAAAAGCAATAGCAAGGCCTGGCCAGCTGGAAGCATGGAGCTGCTGGTGGGATGCAGTGGGAAGGGGGCACCCAGCACCCATGCACCAGCACAGAGCCCTGCAGCTCCTCCCACACCCCAGTACCCAAAGTGACACGGAGACCCCAAGGCCAGTATGATACACACCCAGCAGCATGCCTGAGGAGCACATTGGCCAAGAGAAGCGTTTGGTCCCAGACACATGACAAAAGCAGCACCGTGCCAAAAACAGCAGCACACCTTCACTGTGCAGAAGGAAGGGGATGAATGAGGTGCAGTGGCAAGCCAGCTGAGTGGAATCCTCCTCTAGCCTCCACAGACACCTTCCCTGCTGATCCCTCTCCATGCCAGCAGCATGTATGCTGTGAGCTTTCATAGTGATGTTTTCTAACTGCCTAGAAAACAGTCCTGCATCCATCCCGAGCCACTGACTTTTCTGTACTGAGGCAGAAGTCACTGTCACTCTGATTAACTCTGCTAATTCCACAGAACAAAAGGCAAGGAAACCTTCCTGCTCCACTTTCCTGACCCACACTGCTGAGCTGATCAAAGGGTAAAGCTGCCAGAGCTGTGCTTTGACAGGGAGCTGTTCCCTGCATGTATAAGGATGTGGTGCTTATTGTGGTTTCATCACCTGCTGCAGGACAATGTGTGGGAGAGTGGAGATGGGTCAGGTTTCCCAGGATGTGGAGCCCTCAGTGGGGCTGGATTTCAGAAGGGCTCTGCCTGTAGCAACAGGCACAGTGATGCTTTTGGCTAGATATTCAAAGGACTTTGACTCAGCAGCCAGTATGACCCAACACGTCCGACTCCTTTTGAATATCTGCCTGTTGGTTACAGAGCCTAAGTAGGAGCTGAGCTCCTTTGAAAATCCAGCCCTTATTTAATAGGACACGCTTGGTTTAGACTCTTGCCAGACAGACCTACTCTGTGTGGCTGATCTCATCTCATGACATAAATACACCGTCCTGCCAGCACCATGAGCCGTGGTGTCTCACTGAACAGTCGTTCTGTGCCCCACTCCAAGATGGATCGGGGGGTGGATTTTTGAAGAGGATGCAACACCTCCTGCTTCAGATTCGAAGCCAATATCTATCAAGTAGTGGTATCAGCAGGACCATCACAGGGCCCAGTATCGATGCCAGGCTGGCAGCTGGACTGTCTGGGCCACAGCCCAGGCGGAGTGTCAAGGCACAAGCCTGGGGATTTCAAAACTCTGGTCTTACCCTGGTGGTTCAAACTCATCCTCGCATCTCATTTGTCCTCTGAGTCTGAAGGTCTCATAACATGCCTGAACTCGCTCATGCTGGCAAACAGCTTTGAGATCTGCTGGGGAAAACCTGCCAAGCATTCTAAAGCTCACTGTGCCCCTGTAGTGTCAGGTGGCAGTTGTGCAGGAGAAGCTGCTTTGTGCTGTGCGCTCTTCTCCAAAGGTTGCTGGCAGGTCACCTCCTCCGTGCCCGGCATGCCAGCACCGTGGGGGCACCAACCCATGCAGTGAAACAGCCAAGAGCACGGGCTGTGGCCAGCACGACTGGCTAAAGCTGGCTCCAGAATGGTGTAAATGCTTCCCATCCAATTCTGCTCCAGAGTGACTCTGGTTTTGGGCTGGGGCACCTGGCAGAAAGGTCACTGGCATCTCCAGCAGCGGGCCAGCCTGGGCACACTGTCACAGGACCACATTGCCAAGTGCCACGCTAGCCCTTGGAGCTGCTGCTTGTGCTGCATCACAGTCAAGTTGAGAAGACCTTGGGCTGGCACTCAGTGGCCTCTCCTGGGAAATGCCTACCACATATACCCCACACAGTGTCCTTGCCCTCTGAACAGTGGCTTTTCTCTAACAATTAAGAAGAGTTTGTGCTGGTGAGGAGAGGAGGCTAATAAAAGGTTTGTTGAAAGGATGGAGCTCTTTTGAAGTGCACTTCACAGCTCCATTGCTTGGTCTCCACATATGGTTTTCATCCTTGTGCCTTCTTTTCTGATGAGGAGATAACAGGACAGGGGAGGTTGACCAAGGACATTCCAGTCACAGAAACACTTTTCCTCTTCAGATGCTTCTACCTGGATAGATCAAAGCTCCATTTCAGAGGGATTGCTTGGGTAGACCTTGGTGATCTTCTGCCTAGGGAGAAAAGGAGCTTTGCAGCACATGCACCTGTTACAAAAAAGGCATAATTTTGTTCCTCCAGACAGTGCTCAGCGCAGAGCTGCCTGTTGCTGCTCCAGCCCAAAGCCAGCTCCCTCTGACCTGAAGCCCCTCTGCTGACGGTGGAAAACCCCACGCATGAGCCAGCGTACATTTGGGGCACCCTGGTTGGGTTTTGCAAGGATTTGTGAGATAACAGTTGCATCTAAAGACACAACAACATCACTTACCTGCCAAGTAACCAAGCGCCTCTGGGCTGTCAGAGCCTGCCAGGAGCAAAGACTTTCCCTCTGGAAACTTGAGTGAGTCACCAGAGCAGGGCTTTGCAGCTTGCCCATGCTGTCCTGGATGGGCTGTTAGCATCATGTGAGTGCACCCAGGCAAATGAAGAAACCCAGAGTGCCACTGTGGTCACACCAAGTGATCCCAGTGTGCGGGCTGTGCTGGGACCAGCACCACACAATCCTGGCTCCAGGATGCTTGCACCTAAGGAGACGGAAAGAGGGAGGCCAGTAAGAGCTGTTGGGTTTTGACGTTCCAAATCCCTTCCCTTTTGATCAGAAATGCAAAACCCCTGTGCCAGCCAGCCTCCAACAAAGGAGGGAGGTGGGTGGAGATGGCCAACAGCTCCCTGCCCACATCCTGTACATGGGCAGGGGACACAGAGACAGCAGCTGGGAAAAGCACACCCAGCTGCTGGGCGAGCAAAGCCCGGGTGTGTTTGGGGTTGATTTGCTCTCCTAAGAGGGCTGCTTGTAGCCAAATAGTGCTAATGGCCAGGAGAAGTAACAGCATTATTAACAGCCGAGCTTTTGGCAGTAAATTAAAAATCTTGGCTGCTGCCCCTGGCTCTGCTCTTGCCTCTTAGGAGACATTAATATCACAGCTCCCCAGCATTCCCATTATCACTTCATTAAGGATCCAATAATGATAAATGTGGATGGTTTTACTTTGCACGAAGCCTGATTAATGGCTAATATTTCACTAGGTGTTAATGGGGCCCTTTATGGAGGGATGGGAAGGGGGCTGCCTTTAATCTCCTCCACAAGCTGGGTAATTTTCACTGTTTTTGCTAATGTGACAGATGTAACACAAACCTTGAAAGAGTGGCTGAGGCCTCTTGAGAAACTCTGAAGAACGTCATGCTTTGGGCAGCCCTTGCTGCCATGGTGTTCCCCAGCTCCTTTCTTCCTCCTCTTCTTCCTCCTTCTCCCCATCATGCCAGCAGAGCCTGCACCCAGATGCTGTCACCCATGTCCCCAGATGGTGGGTTCAAAAGCGAGGCAGAGGTCTGCCCAGGAACAAGCCCACCAGCACAGCCACCAGGGCTCTCCACAGCAGACGTGGTGCAGAACCAGGGCCATGCTTGAGGCCAGGCTGCAGGACAGAGCCCAGTAGCCCACCTCCAGCACCCCAGCGGACAGGTTCGGTGGCTTCTGTGAGGCTGGCTCCCATGGCACAGGGGCTGTTCTCTGCTGCAGGACCCCGGCGTATTGCACGGCTTCAATCCCTATATGAAGCGGGATGTATAATCACATAGGAATAAAAAGCCATACAAGACAGCAGGCTGCGAGTTGCTCTGTGCTGGCGAGGCAACAGGACAGTCCCTCTGCTGCCACGGACTTCACG